ATTTTTTTACCTACATTCTTATTTCAAAAGAATAAGAGCAACTCTTCTAAACGGATACCAAAGGAGCACAACAGCAGCGCTTGAAAAGGTATTCGATGGTACAAGTAGGCAAAATTCTAACATCTAGAAAAGATGGTCAGTAGTGCGCGATGACACACTTGTTCTTTCAAGATAATGAGTACGTTCAACTAGTTTATTGTGCAGAAAGGCAATTTTTAGTTTTATGGATTATACTTTTGTTCATTTTAATTGGTAATATAAGGGTAATCCTAAAGATTTCTTAATTTTTAATGTCATTGGTCATAAAATGTCAAAAAATGCAACAATTAGAAATAAAAATGAATGTTAGCTTTTCCCTATCATTTATGTAGTTTCAAATCGCTCAACATTTTCCTTTTCAGTTGCAGCAGTTTTAGCCGAATAAATCACCTTGTATCGATGGTTTAGTGAATATTTATTTAAGAGCAAACAACACAAAGGAAAGGAAGTGGGCCCTTTCGAGCGGGCAAAACCTAGTACAAGAAGAAGGCCCTTATCTCAGTTGGCCCCTGCTTTTATAGCAGGGAGCGGTGAGTAAATATAGGGAGGGATGAAGATCGCCTGTCGACGACGAGAAAAATTTCACAAATTAAGATGCTATTGAAATGTTACAGGATACATACATAGTGCCGACTGGCCCAGCAGAAGAGAAGATAAATACTACTATGAGGAAATTGGTCTACTATAGCTTCATCTTCTTTGGAATGGTCCTGTATTTACGAGCGGGGCATAGAAGTGTGTTGTGCGGCATACGGCAGGTGTTGCAGACGACGCCGCATTCTTTACGATGCCCCGGTTTCAAACAACGTACGCATAGGCCCAGTTGCGAGGCCTGGACTGCCCGAGCAACCGAATCCGCATACCTGGGACATCTTCCAGATGGCGCGATGGCTTCTTCTGTCCCCGGGCGGAATACACAGAGGTTCCCTGCGGGAGCAGGCCATGAAGTAATGGCGTTAATAGACTCCTGGCATTCAGCTCCGCGAACACGTTGAGAATCGACTCCAGCTTTGAAGGAATGACCGTTAGGGCTTGCATGACAGGCG